GTTTTTTAGAAAACAACTAAAAATACATTCTTGCTTCTTACAGTTACAATAAAAACAAACTCTAAAACAGTAAAAAAAAAAATTCAAAAAATCTTATTTACAAAAGAGTCCGAATGAATTTACCTCGGGTCACAATTCTCCCGTGCTCTCGCAGGAGCTCCCGAGGTTTTATACGATGTTGGTGTTTATAGCATATAGATTCGTATCACGGAGGTTAATACTTAATATATATATTTTGTTTGAATGTTAAATAAAGTTCTTGTGGCAAAACGTTAGGCCAATTTTCATGGAGATCCTGACTTCGATTCTCCTTTTATCCCTTACTCATTTTTTTTAGTGACCAAAACGACGTAGTTTTGATTACTTATACACGAGTATATACAGATAAAAAAATCTATATACGGCCGAGGGTTATATAACGGGTTGACCAGTATTTGGAAGGTTGACCTGCATTTAATTTACTTGAAAGGTATTTTTGCAAATCCTAACCACTTAGAGAGTTTATTTGCATAAACCCTTTTTTAATTATTTCAGAAATTATTTTGTTAAGCAACCAGATTTATTATATGAAATGTGAAATTTTGACCAGGCTCAATGGAATAAGTAGGGATTATAAGGAAGGGAGAATCAATATTTCAATAGGAAAAACCAGTTTTAAGAACAAAATGGAAAAATAAAAATAAAAAGAGATAAAAAAACCTGTGACAAAAAAAAAGAGATAAAAAACCATAGTTAGTTACCATGAATTTGTTATATCTAGTTTTAAATAGAAAAATTTTAACAAAAGAAAAAAAAAACTTGTTATCTCTTTTTATTATTTATTATCGTTTTTAACAATATTGTTTACCATTATGTGATTGTAAACATGATTAAACAAAATCGTATTTGTTATTAATCTGTCGTTGATTTAATAGGGTCTGAGTAAATTGTGACAATTCTTATAATTGTAATAAAATTAATAAATCCAGTTGTTTAAAAAACAAACAAAATCAATGGCACGAATCAAAAATTTCAAGTGAAAAATCAATGTACGGATATTCAAATGTGAGGTTCAAACAATGTAATCTTAATCATATTTTACGAAGCTTTAATGAGATTACTCATTCTTTAGCTAAGCTTGAACTTTCAAATGAAATGTTTTTATCCTTTTTTGTATACACCAATTTAGATGGTAAACAGTTTAACACATTTTTTGTTGTTTTTGTCAACTCAGTTAACACACATCTATTGTATCAAAACTACTATATTTTTCACAAGTTCTTCTTTCGCTGGAAAAAAAAAAAATTTAACAACTTTCATTATTTTATATTTTGATGTCGGCAATCAGATTCAATATTATTGAAATATAATTTTGGAAACAAAATCGTATACAAATACACCATTTATGCATACAAAAGAGATACAAGACAGACGCGATGCATATGGCATACTTTTTGTTTTTGTTAGACAGATCACACATCAAGTTCGCTACGAGATATCATAATCTCATAGAAAACTAATGGCTTTATATAGCATATGTGTGTTATTTGTTAATCTTACTTTTTATAATCACTAACAACTAGCATTATCATTAGTGAATCGGGAAAGTCTGGAAAACTTTCACACTCAAAATAGTTTGTAGATTGGCTTCATGTCACTGGGATTGTACAACCCAAAATTTTGTTCAGTCCCTGCGGGCTTCTGATTTTCATTGAACGTTGCAAATAAAAACCCGTCAATACCATTGTTTGGCCTTTTAGGCGTCCCTTTTCCGGTTACTATATGCTTTATAAAGTTTCCGTTGTAGGTAGCTGCGATATCCGGCGTAGTAAAGTCCCCGTTCCCGGCGGACGGCCATCCGGTTTCGGACACTACCATTGGTAAATCTTTCACACCTTCTTTTTCCATTGCCCATACAAATGCGTCAAAGATTGCATCAAACATGTTCGAATAGCCTAGTGGTCCATCTTGGACCACGATGGATTCAGTGTTGAAGATTGCATAGTCGAGACGAATGCTTGTTGGGTCGGACGCGTAAGGGAAGTAAGGGTAAATGTTGACAAGGATAGGTGTGTTTGTTTGAGACAATAGTTTCAACACCGGGACGAGTTGTTCACGCGCTTGAGACGTGAACATTCCCGCGGAAGGTGGGTAAGATTGCCCGAGGTTCGACATAGCAACCACGGTGCTTATCGAGATTGGAAGATTCATCGACTTAACGAGGTTGGTAAGAGACTGCATGACAGGAAGCACTTGAGGACCGATCGGTCCAGGGATGACTTCGTTACCAACGGTAATAAACGTGATGTTGACATCAGCTAAGTAAGGTTCGATGTTGGTCGCAAACCAGCCCTTAACAGCTTCTTCGCTAGCTGCAAGAGCAGCCAAGTCTTGGTCCCTAATGCCTACAGTGACTCCAATGTCGCGATGGCCACGTAAAGCATTAAGAACGTCCGTGTTCGGGTCGAATATTCGGATTTTTGTAATGCCTATGGACTTGTAAAGGTCGATAACTTTGGACGGAGACGGGAGGTTGTCTCCGAGGAGACCGTAGTTCAAGCCAATGGTATTTGTTGCGGTTACGAAGACTCTATTATTGTTGTTGTTGAAAACCAGCATAATGCACGAGAGGAAGAGCGCGAACAGCATCTTAGGAGAGTAGTGCATGATGAATTTTCTGCAAAAAACCAATTAGTGTTAATAAAGATAATAGTGTCATAACATGTTCAAGTTTCTTATATTCATAGCATCAAATACATCAAAAGATTCATACATTGTTTGTAAAAGGAGCCAAACTTGTTTATTTCTTTTTTCGTTTCGTTGCAAAACATAGATTGTCCAGTGTGATATATATACGTATCTAAGATCTATTTCCAGCTTTATTGGTATCAGTAAAATAGTAAAATTCTTTTATTTTTGTTCTTGGTGTGATCTTAGCCGTTGATTCATTTACAAATTTGGTGTTTTCCTTCAAAACTAGTTATATGTTTTTTTGTTTTGATTAACTGAATCTTACTATTCCATAACAAACTGAAAATAATTCTAGTTGACTTCTGTTATCTAGAAGCAAAAATTATCTAAAAATATACATGAGACAAAGTATGATATCAAATTATTAAAAAAACCAACAATTATTAAGCTTGGTGCAAGAAGATGCTCATCAGAAATCTGTCCTCTCTAATTGCTTGTTTAACCATGGCATTTTTCACATTGTAAGCAATGATGGACATAATAACAATACTGTCTATAACGTTTACATATATTTTTCTTTAATCATAAGAAGTTTTGTCCCGTATAATTCTACGACATAATCTAAACCATGTAAATTTAACTATTTTCTTGGGAGAAAACCCATTTTAATGCGCATCGAACCCGTCACTTCCAGAATCTTTATGTTTTCGGTAACTTATCCATTAAAGCAATTCGTCGTTGGTATAGTTTAGCAAGAATTTAATTTGA